GCAGTCTCCAAAGCGCAAGAGGTAACGCGCCTCCCTCTCTCTCATAAACTAATTCGGAGAATTCATTTGCCGCTCTGTTGCCTCGAATGAAGGTAATGATGAAGTGTAAAATGTAGTCTGATGGTGTTTTCACACATGAGTCCACTCAGACCACTTTGAGTAAACCAAAATGGCATTTGCACTCTTAGAAAAGTAGGTTTAGATCTATTTAATAAGAAAAATACTACTACTACAACAACTACTACTAATAATTATTATTTAAAAAAATAATACACTGAAAAATTTGATGTATAAAACAACTTTTACTTAGAAATTGCTTGTACGTTTTAAAAAAGAAACGGCTTTATTAGTTCATTAAATTAAACGTGACATTTTGGAGAAAGACTGGAATAGTATTTTCTTATTTTTGTAAAATGTACTCCAATAATCTTCATTTACAACGTAGAAAATAATTTTTTACAATGAGTATATTAAGTCGTAATTTCTTTCTTTTTTTTTTTTTACAGCAACTTTAAGACCTTGAGCAATGCAGTGAGGATATTTTGAGTGCACTCAGACCTCTTTAAGTAGTCCTAAAAAGTGAAACCAGTTCTGTTTACACTCACAATGTCCCTGGACTTAAAAAAAAAAAGTAATCAGGCCTTATTTTTGTCCATCAATAAAGAGGTCTTATTTTACTTGCCATAAAAACACCTTGCTTTGGGAATCTAAGTTTATTATTAGTGACTGTTATTGTGAAATAATAAAGTTTTGTGTTCACAATGCACTCAGACCTCCTTTAGAGATCTCAGTCCAGTTTGATTTAATGGGGTCTCATTTGGAGCGTTCACATAAAAGCTACGCCAAAATACCAACCACTATTGCACCCCTGAAGCGAAGTACTTAAGGTGAACTTAAAGGTAATATATTTCCTCTGGCACGCTGTACTGATATGTTGCTAATTCTGGACCAGTTGAATGAGAAATGATTTTGAACAACAAAAGCCAATCAATCAATGCAGTGTCTCCAAAAGAGATCTGTGCATTATGAATCCAAGTACATTTTCCATTTTTATGCCCTCTGCATTTTTCTTTCACTGTTTAGAAGGTATTTTAGTCCATCACTAGTCTTTTCTAAATGGAAAGATTAATCTACTTCACATATGATTTTAAGTGGTTATATTTACCCTGTCAGAAAAGACAGTATAATTGGGAGTTTTCTTTGCCCGTGGCCACTCTGTGTCACTCAGTGATATTATTAATGTGACAGTGATATTATTAACTTATCACCCAACATGGTTTATGGAAAACACATTAAAAAGCACAACAGATAGAGATAGCCAGTCAAAATGACTAAATGTCAAGTCTAAAATGCTATTTTCTGCAGTCTCTATGACCATAGCTCTCTTACTCAGATTCTGTATTCCAGTTTAAATGACTGAGAGCCTGCGCTGTAATGAACTTTAAATGAGGTATCATAAAGCCGAGCCGAGCTGTCGAGCATTTCCATCTATAAATCTGACAGTGCCAGTCTGGCCAAGCAAGCCATTAAAAAGTTATTTTAGTTGTTTACTAAGTATAATGATGGCTTAATATAGCGAAAATATGCAGACTTTCACTTTTATAAGTGCCTGTGAATAAAAGACATATGTGTTTTTAGTGCCTGCGAATGCCGTTCTCGTAAATAGCATATAAATAGCTTTGTTGTCATCCTCGGCAACTTGCTGATCTAATGTTAGTCCATGAATTATGTTTGACACAACTGGCTGTGTCTGTATCTGTTCTGCTCTGTTATCATGAGAAACTCAGTTTTGGCAATCACTCATTTTAACAGTTGCCAAGCAAATGAATCAAGTTAATTAGTTGCTCAGCCTGCATGTATTGTAATGAAAAAAAATATTAATACTTAATAATACTGACTTTGAGGAACAGCTGTAAAAAAATGTATGCTGCCTTTAAGGAAGTTTCAGAGAGGAGACATTTATTGGGTGAAGAGAAATTCACATTCATACCCCAAAACTGCAAGACCACAGTTATAATGATTAATCTCTGTAGAATCAGCCAACTCGTTCTGGAAGTTCACAGTCTGTACACTCTTAAAAATAAAGGTGCTTCAAAAGGTTCTTCAAGCGATGCCATAGAAGAACCATT